TTCAAAGTTCATAGTTGGGCTGGGAGCCGATGAAATAATTTTTTTTTTTTTTTTAGAGAGATTTTGCTATAGGGCTCTTATGCTTGTTGGAGAGACAGAGACAAAAAAAGCAGAAAGTGAGAAATCACTCCCCAGGGGGATGGCCACACCACAATCCCTTCTCCTCTATTCTCCTCTCGAGACCTTGGGCACACACGCACACGTGCCCTGCATGAGTTTCAAGCCACTGGGTCCCGGTCTTGAACTGTGGTCAGCCATGTGGGAGTCCAGTGACATAACCATTATGCCATCTGCTGGTCCCCTAACCCAAATTTAATCATGGGAAGATTAAGCAAATTGAAATGGACAGGAATTCTTCAGAACAACTGACTTGGACTCCTCAAAAATGTATACTTGAGGGCCAGTTGGTGGTGTGGTGGTTAAGGCACCCAATCCCACATGGCTGCTGAAACAGTTTAAGTCCTGGACCTGGTAACTTGGAAAACATTCCAGATGTGTGCATGCATGCCCAAAATTATATAAGGAAGAAAAGGGATTGTGGCATGGCCAGCCCTCCTAGGGGAGGGTGCTTTCCCACTTTCCTTCTGTCTCTGTCTCTCTCCAGCAAGTGCACAATCCCTTTGCAAATTATAAAGACAGTAATTTGGAAAAAAAAATTATACTTGATGAAAGAAAAAAAAAAATCCCCCATTCTAGATTTGAGGAAAACAAACAGAAGCGACAACTAAATGCTATGCAGGACCCTTGAGATGATTTTCAAATCTTATGAATGACTCTGCAGGGTCTTACTGACACGATTTGCAGTTTGTGTATGAATTGTGCATTAGGTACTATACATTAATGTTAAACCCCCACAAATACATCATTGTAGGAGGATGCCCTTGTTTTGGGGAGATACAAGGCTCAGTGTTTAAGAGGGTGGGGCCAGCAAGTGGCATGGTAGTTAAGGTCCTGGACCCTGTATGACTGACAGCAGTTCGAGTCCTGGACTTGGTAGGCTGGAAATTGCACTGGGCATGTGCACATGTGTGCCCAAAATCCTGAGAGGAGAGTGGAGGAGAGGGGATTGCAGTGTGGCCATCGCCCACTGGGGTGATACCTCACTTTCCCTTTTTCTTTCTCTCCAGTGAGTGAGTTGCCCTCAGGCAGAAACCAAACGAAAACAAAGAGTGCACTCGCTTGACATCTGCAGCGGAATCTCAGGGCGGCGTGGCCAGAACCACGTGGGGGCACTGCTGCCTCATCGAAGCTGAAATGTGGGTGTGTGTGAGGATGTTTGCGAGTGTGAGTGTGCGAGTGTGAGTGCACGAGAGTGTATGTGTGTGAGTATGAGTGTGTGAGAGTATGCATGTGTGAGTGTGCGAGTGTGAGAGTATGAATGTGTGAGTGTG